ACACACACACACACACACACACACACACACACACACACACACACACACACACACACATTACTTTCCGGTCTTGCTTGAGCAGTCTTCTGTCTTAGGTATGTTGTCTCTTATCTTCTTCTTCCTCTTTGGCAGTGACGCGAGTGTGTAGTTTGAGATGAATGTTGGGAATGCCAATGCTGTTATATTTGTTTGTTTTTGGTAAATGAGTTTTTGGTTTTGTGGGCCAATGCGGAACGCTCTCCAAGTTTTTTCGGACGTTTGAGGGGGTCGGGTCGGTGCCTTCTTGCTGGAGTAGTCGTCTGTCTTAGGTAAGTTGCCTTCTGCCCTCCATCCCCTTGTGGTTTGAAATATATATGTATACATATGTATATGTCCAAGTGTGCCGCTTTCGCGGTAGACGGATGTGTGGGCACTTGGCGTTGAACCACACAAACGTGGCTAACGTTGCATTTTCTTATATTGATTATCTATACTTTTTCGTTATGGATGGCTTGTGATAATTCGTGAAGGGAATGAGAGAGAGAATCTGGGGTCTTTTAAAACAACACACACACACACACACACACACACACACACACACACACACACACACACACACACACACACACACACACACACAGCTTTTCTTGCAGTCTAAGAGTGAAAAGATTCGCACACCTCTTGTGTTGTTCACATGGTTGATATCCATGCAGGTGAAATTTGGATGAATCTTGATGGTGAAGAGGCACCAGTCCTGCTGAATGCTCTCCCATTGCTTGTGGCTGACAATGTCAGGTAGGACATCTCAGGAACTGGTTTTGTATATTACTATATTCTATCCCAGGACTGTGCAAAACTCCAACCCTGGGCTACGTAGCCGACTGAATCATGGAAAGTACTACAAAAGTACTCATACTTGAAGAGAGGAGGAGGACAGGCCTCACATAACATTTGTGCCCTGGAAGCATCACCTCAACTTTGGGGCCCGTAATCGGGCTAGTTACCCGGATATTTGAATCACAGCCTCACAGAAATTTCATACCTTTCTCGGCCCTTTGGCTTGGGCCAAGTGTAGTATCTGTTCTGATCAGTTTAATTTCTGGTGAAAATTAAAAAAGAAACAGGAAAAACAAAGCAAAAAAAAAAACACGGGGGTTGTAAAGGCCTTTGAATGACACCAGATCCTTTAGGAAACAAGAAATGAGGCGAGGAGCAGGCGGCACCTGGATCCTCAGAACTGATGAAAAGCACAGTCACAGGTGCGTTGGGAGGGTCAAGCAGGCACAGATAGAGTTGCCACAGTAGATATCAAGATAGTTTGTAACTTTGTATTGACATCAACATTAACTCGAGATTTAACCTTGGATAATGTCATCTTAAATGAACGTTGTATAGCATGTGTGTTTGTGTGCGCGCGCGCGTGTGTGTGTGTGTGTGTGTGAGAGAGAGAGAGAGAGAGAGAGAGAGAGAGAGAGAGAGAGAGAGAGAGAGAGAGAGAGAGAGAGAGAGAGAGACAGACAGACAGACAGACAGACAGACAGACAGACCACCCAGGCTACGGCCAGCCATCCCTACTCCACTGCACCGGCAGAGCGGAAGAGTACCTTGTCCATGACCAGCAGGTCGTTCTTTTGTAGTGGCAGACCACACAAGCTCCCTGGCTATGACAGTCAGGTCCAGCTCTGCCTGAGCGTCAGATTGCACAAGCTCCCTGGCTATGGCTAGTCGCTTGCCCACACTGTGTCATTGACAGGGCTCTTTGCCCGTGTAGCAGATGCTCTCTCCTGATCGGATGATCACCGCTAGCTCATCCGTCCTTTTCTAGCTGCAGCAGCTCAAGTCCTTCCTGTCGACAACGGGCAGATATCTAACACCGAGCTTTTTTAATTCAAAATTTTAATTTTTAACTTTCCCTCCAGTCACACAGGAGGGAAATCCCATCGTTTGAGCTTCCCAGAAGAATAAAGGGGCCTGGGACCGGCCCTGTCCTATTCTTAGATCGAGCCGCAGGACAGTTCCCAGTGTCCCAAGCCCAGTTGGAGGAGTTGAAAGGTCAAGCTAAGAATAGATGGCCCATTTGATGGAACCGACGGGTCGGATATTTATAGAGGGCCCATTCACCGGAACTTAAGGGGCAGGCTATTTATAGAAGGCTGATTAGTGGAGCTGAAGGGTCAGGCTATTTACAGAGGGCCAGTTTGGTGGAACTGAAGGGTCAGGCTAAGAATAGATGGCCCCCTTCATGGAACTCAAGTGTCATTTTACAAATAGACGGCCCCCTCTGACGAGCTCAACGGTCTAGGCTGGCCAGCCTTGGAATGGTCAGGCACGTCACTAAAAGTAGCCTGGGCCTGTCTAAAAATAACATAAGCCTATTCTAAATTATGTGCAGGCCCTCTTAATTTCTTTTAGGGCCTAGATCCTCTTCCCCTTGGCCTTTTTAGACCCTCTCTTTTTCAGTCTGACCGTAGGAGCCGTGCCGTTTTGGTCCCATTCGTTCAAACTATTCGTCAATCAAAAGAAGTAAATAAAAATATTGATTCTGAATTAGTAGGAGAAGTATTTTGGAGTAATAAGCAGAAGAGGTTGTACAGGATCAGAAAAAAAGATCCAAGCAACAGAAGGCAGTAAGCATAGAAAAGCTAACGATCTAGAAGCAGAGAGTGACGGGTCCGCTGTGCTATAGAGAGGCAAGGGTAAATCCAGACAGTCAGGTTAAAAGCAGAACCTCAGTTGAATAGGATAACTTAGGCAGGGGTGAAGTGTGGTACATCCTTCCTTCGCGAAGCAATCAATGCTGTCCTTCGGACCTCCACACCATAAGGGGGAGGAGCGTGAGGGTGTAATCTTTGTGATCCCTTCAGACTTGCCGGTGGACTAGGAACCGGACCGATGCTCCCCAGAATGGAAAAGGAGCTGGAACTCTTAAGGTTCTGTTTTTCATTAAAAAAATAAAAAAATAAAAAAAATGGAGTAATAAGTATTATTTTTAAGCTGCTTGTTTTGTTGTGGCGGCTGCGTTGACTCTTTTGGGTGAGTTGCATTCTTAGCTCAGCTGGATAGAGCAACAACCTTTAGAGAGAGAGATATTAATGCTCTTCAAATTTCAAAACCTCTTTTGCCAATGTTTCTGAGCCACTTAGACCCACGTTTGGGTCTATCTCACATCTTTGACCTGGGCCGCCGCAACTGTTCGGCCCAACAGCCTTGATATGAACCCCAGAACATGGCTAGCTTGACCGCTGCTTTTGACACAACCTGGAGGGTGACCGTGATGCGTCAATGTACACCGCTGCGGCGTGCCAGCCCCTGATGGCATGCCGGCCTCCTACAGCGCTCTGGCTATGGCTGCACCCTTATTCCCCCTCCAGGCACTGGCTGGGGCAGTGCTGCTTGCTAGTGCACAACGAACAGCAGCAGCATGCAGCAGCTTCAACCGGAGTGTACTGCTCTCCACCCAGCCTCCTCCTAATATAGGCAGTCCAGGGTCCCTAATGGCCCAGCAGGCCGGTTTCTGTAAAAGTATCAGGGTGGGACCGCGGTGGTCACGCCCAGTCTGGCAACACTGGCGAAGAGGCCTTGGATGGCCCTACCAGCCCAATCTCGCCATGTTAGGGCCGTCTGGCCCCTGCCACGTACAGGCCCTTGTGGCCCTGCAGTAGGAGACGAAGAAGGGAAGAGACAGAGAAGACACAGAGGTGAAGAGAGAAAGAGCGAGAATGAGGAAAAGGGGAGACAGCAGAAGAGAGAAGAGGGGGGGGGGGAAAGAAAACTGGTGCTACCATTTTGTACTGCTCATGGTTTATCTCTGTGTACCTTTGCGGTGTTGCAAACTGTCAGTGGGCTTGTTTGAAACTGCCATGGATATTGTGTACAGTTATGCCAGACGCCGGGATGTTGTGGGTACCCCCTCTCAATTTTGGTTATGGATTTTTAAATGACCCCCAGCTACGTGTATTTTCGATACTTCTTGAGTTTGTTTCCAAAATTAAAAAGTTGAATCCAGATGAGGCATTCAGACACTTCTGCTGGACAGCCCGGATGCCGACCTGGAGGCACGGATTGTAACCAATATACAATGTTTCTGTTCTGAATGTGCTGATTGTAACCAAAATACAATGTTTCTGTTCTGAATGTGCTGACGAGTTCAGATGTAACTGCCTGGTCAGAGCTTCTTTCACTGGCATGTCCACCACATTTAGTTCTAGCAAAGAGGCTGGAATACTCATAATGAATCCAGATGTTGTGGGTACCCCCTCTCAATTTTGGGTATGGATTTTTAAATGACCCCCAGCTACGTGTATTTTCGATACTTCTCGAGTTTGTTTCCAAAATTAAAAAGTTGAATCCAGATGAGGCATTCAGACACTTCTGCTGGACAGCCCGGATGCCGACCTGGAGGCGTGGATTGTAACCAAAATACAATGTTTCTGTTCTGAATGTGCTGATGAGTTCAGATGTAACTGCCTGGTGAGAGCTTCTTTCACTGGCATGTCCACCACATTTAGTTCTAGCAAAGAGGCTGGAATACACATAATGAGGAAAGAAAGTGGCAAAAGTCTATTCCTTTGCTCCTATGGGTCAGCACAACGGCTTCACTTTTACAAGCAGAGTGGTAGAGAGAACACAAGAGAGAGAGAGAGAGAGAGAGAGAGAGAGAGAGAGAGAGAGAGAGAGAGAGAGAGAGAGAGAGAGAGAGAGAAGAGAGAGAGAGAGTGAGATAGAGTGAGAGAGAGTGACAAGTGTTTGTTTCCTTACTCCTGCAGGTCAGCACAAAGGCTTACATTTTTACCGGCAATGTTCCAACTCATGGCAGCGGTATGAATTCTGAACTTGTCGGTGCTGAAACTTGTGAGGTCAGGGAGAAGGCAACTCTTAAGCAACTTTACTTCATCAAATGTCCACTCTCTAAGCCTTATGTGAAGTGACTGCATTGATTTAGTCTTGGTATCTCTGTGTTTTCCACACGAAAGGCTATGTGTTCAGACCTGGTGTGCAGAGCATCATCAGATGTGTAACCATAGTTTAGCCGATGGATTTGAACATGCAGACCATTTTTGATGCCCTCCTGCTCCTCCTTTTCGTCCTTCCCATCTCACTTGATCTCCTGCACCACTGACTCCTCCTCCTCCTCCTCCTCCTCCTCCTCTTCTTCTTCTTCTTCTTCTTCTTCTTGTTCTTGTTCTTCTTCTTCTTCTTCTTCTTCTTCTTCTGCTTCTGCGTCTGCTTCTCCTCCTTTCTTCTACTCGTCCTCCTCGTCCCTCCTCCCCCCCCGTCCTCCTCTTCCTGCTTCTCCTCCTCCTTGGCCTACTCTTGTTCTCTTTACTTTCGATAAACTATTGCATTGTAGCTGTAGACATCTGTCAACAGGCTAGTAAACTTGCCGGAGAGGTTGTAGTTCATCATCATCATCATCATCATCATCATCATCATCATCATCGTCATCATTTGCTGAACTTCTTTATCTCCACCATTGGCTGGCCCAAAGTTGGTGGATGCTTGCAGACAGACTATCAGATGCATCCCATGCCATCCTACCTTGTGTGAGGGTTTTTGAGATCGTTTGTTGTCGTGACCATCATCTTGATCATCATCTTTTTTGTCATCATTATCATTCTGTGACCAGCTTTTGACATTATTTCATGAAAATTTATCATCATCTTATCACGACTGTATTGCTGTCATCCTCGTCATTGCCGTCATCAATCCCCTCTGCTTTGTCGCAGTCATCCCTATGATGATATGAATCATATGGTCACCATCATCATTGCAAACAATATCATCGTCATCATGATAGTGTGATTTACCTCTCATCATCTGTCATTGTCTGATTCAGTAATTTTGTCACCATCAAGTGCTTGCCCTCTCATCATCTGTCATTGTCTGATTCAGTGTAACACTGGGACGCAGCTAAAACAATGGCTGCGGAATCACGTGCGGATTCTGACCCGTCATAACCACTCTTCTTCTAATGGGTCAGGAAGTCCTTGGGAGCCTACTTCCTACACAGCTACAATCTGCCTACTAATTGACAATGCAACTGTTGACGTCAGCAGCTCACGAAGTACTTGAAGATGTCGCCCAATGCAGACTATCGCCAATACCAGGTATGTGCCCTCACATCATCATCATCATCATCCTTCTCTCTCTCTCCCTCTTCTTACACCCACGTCTTCCCTCTGTACACCCGAAGACCAACCCTGCACCTCCAAGCCCATCTAGCTATGGAGGCTGGGCTATGGCGCTGCCCTCAGCAGCGCCCTGCTCCCTGCACGACCGCACACGCTAGCACCTTGCCTCTCAGCGCCAGCAGCAGCCCACAAGTGTCCGCTCCTGCAGCGCTGCCGCCAGCATGCAAGTGCTCAATGAGGCTCCAGGCAGCGAGCTCTTTCCTATATGGAAAGAGCCTGCCTGCCTTTGCAGCCTGGCTGGCCTGGGCCTGGGCCCAGAAGCTTCCGGTAGGCCCCAGGATGCTGAGCCTTTGTTGCAGCTACTGGGCCTAATTCGGTTGCTCGTCCAGGGCCTGCATTATTTTGGAAAGGCCTGGAAGGCCGTGGAATTGTCTCGCTGCTCGGCCTGTGTTTCCCTCAACCAACTGGCGCGGCAAAACTGCCTGGACCCCAAATACAATATTGAAAGCTTAGGGCCTCTCGTGATTTGTTAGGCCAGCCTTCACTTAGGGTGGGCACATCTGCAGCAAGAGGCCCCTTAGGCCTGCTGAGGACCCAGATCCTCGCATTCCCTCCCCCTTTTCTTTGATAGTCCTCTGAGAAGTCTTCTAATGTGCAGGCATCTTCCCATTGAGTTCTCTTTCATAGCCTGCAATAACTTGGGGTGCTGTTCGCATGAGTTTTTCTCTGGTGAACCACCGATCTTCCTTGGGATCCAGATGATGTCTGAATCTTACACGGTATTGCATTCTTGGCTTAGGAGGGCGGCCTCTGCCCGGCGGTTTAGGCATTGGGATCACTCGATGCTCTACAATTCCATCGATGTCGACTTCACCATCCATGGTTGGGGGCAGCATTGACCGTCTGGAAGGAAACTATGCAATCTCTGTGAAAGGTGCCAGCTTGGATGCGTGAAAAACTGGGTGTGTACGTAGATGAGGTGGGACGTGAACCACATAAGAAGGTCCGTCCACCTGATCCCCTACTATGTCTAGGACCTCCTAGGGACCGAAATACTGTGGCATTAGTTTTCTAGATATTCCCAGTTCCTGTCCCAGTTCAGATGACTTTACCCAGACCCTGTCCCCTACCTGAAAGTTAGAAGGCCGTCTGTGTTTCTCAGATGCAATCATAGCATCCTGAGATTTCCTCATGTGCTCAACGGCCTGCTGCAGAATCTATTTGTATTTGACAGCAAATTCTACGCTACCTGGTGCTGCAGTGGCCTGTTTCTCATGTAGTAGGAAATCAAGGGCGGAACGAGGCTTCCAACCAAGATGCAGTTGGTTGGGAGTCATGCCAGTAGCGCTATGTACAACGTTGTTGTACAGGCTGGCGACGAGAGGCAGTTTCTCGTCCCAGTCATCCTGGTTTGGCTTGATGTAGTGCCTTAGTAAATGCTGCACTACTCTATTCATCTGTTCCGCTTGTCCATTTGACTCAGGGTGATTCCCTGATGTCATTTGCAGTCTGGTTCCCATCTGTTGGGCAGTGTTCTGCCACAGTTCGCTAGTAAAGCGAACATCCCTATCACTGACTATGAACTTGGGTAAACAAAAATCCCGTACCCAGTTATCCCAAAACTGTCTGATGACGTAATCAGTCTTGGCGGTTTTAGGCATAGCGATTAGTCTTCCATACTTAGAAAAGCGGTCTACTATAACAAAGATGTGTGCCTTTTCCCAGACCTGCTGGTCGCAAGAGTATCCATGAAGTCCATGGACACACTTTGACCAGGACCTTCAGGAATCGGCAAGGGCTTTATGAGCCCAAGTGGAGCCTGAGTCCTGGGTTTGTCCCGTTGACAAACCTGGCAGGTTTCGACATACTTCTTGGCATCTTCCATCATAGAAGGCCACCAGAATTTTTGTACCAAGTTAGCTGACGTTTTCCTATAACCGAAATGGCTAGTTGCATCATGACACTCACCTAAAAATAAACTACGCAAAGACTCTCTATTAGGTACACACAGTCTTTTATTCCTTGCCTTCTCAAGAAACAGCAAGCTGTCTACCATCGTCATTTCATCCAAAGTCACTTTGTCCTTCGCTTGGAATCTACGGATGATCTCAGACATAACTGGATCTTGCTGAAACGTTTCCACCAATGATCGAGTTAGATCGTTAGATATGCCAAACTCAGTGACTAGCGCGCCCAGATAATCTGTCCGACGAGATAGTGCATCAACCACTTTGTTGTACTCTCCCTTGATTGGATCAAGTTGGTAGTCATACATGTCTATCACTTGAATCCACCGCTTGAGTGCGTCAGAGAGTACAGGTTGTGTCTTGATCCAGCGCAAGGTCTCATGGTCAGATCTCAAATAGAAGAATCTGCCTAGGAGATAGTGTCTCCAATTGATCAACGCTCTATAGAGGGCATAGAGCTCACACTCATACGTGGACTTTGCTAGCTTTTGAGACGGCATCTTCTTACTCATATACTCAATGGGTCTCAACTTTGGCCCCTCCTTTTGCGCAAGGACCGCGCCTATGCCATATTGGTTGGCGTTTGTGGTCACAACAAATTGCTTATCGGGATCCGAAAGTTTGAGAACCTCGTACTGTGTCAGAGCATACTTCAATTTCTTGAAGCTTGCCTCACACTCCTCAGTCCACTCCCAAGGGTTGTCAAGTCGAGTTAGATCTGTTAATGGGGAAGATATAGTACTATAATGCTTAACAAACGGACGATAATAGCCCGTCATCCCCAAAAACGATTGGACCTCAATAACAGTCTGAGGTCTGGCCCAGTCTCGTATGCTGGCCACTTTGGCATCATCCGGCCTGAATCCATCCGCGGAGATTTCATGACCCAAGTACAAGATCTTGGTGCGACCAAACTCGCATTTCTCCAAGTTTACCTTGTACTGGTGCTGTCTTAGGAGTCCTAGCACTATTTTCAAGTGCTCAGCATGCTCCTCTACAATCTTACTAAAGATAAGGATATCGTCGAGGTACACGAGGATAAGCTTGTCTAAGTATTCATGAAATATCCTATTCATGGCGTGCTGGAATGCCCCAGGGGCATTGCATAGGCCAAAGGGCATCACCACAAACTCCTACAGACCATACCTGGTTTGAAAGGCGGTTTTGTGCTGGTCCTCAGGTTTAATGGCAATTTGATGGTACCCGGACTTCAAATCTATCTTTGTGAAGTATCGGCATCCCTGCACTCTATCCTATAGGTCGTCGATGCGGGGTAGGGGCTCCGCGTTCTTAACGGTGATGGCATTGCGGCCCCTATAGTCAATGCACATCCTCATTGTACCTCCCTTCTTAGAGACAAATAAGACTGGCGCACCGTAAGGGGAGGTACTAGGCCGAATCCATCCCTTTTCTGTGAGCTGGCGGTAGAGCTCATCCAACTCCGCAGGAGACATCCTATAGATTTGTCCTCTAGGCACCTTACCACCTGGGACAACCTCTATCGCATGGACTACCTCCCTTTCCACGACGCCTGTGGGCTCCTCAAAAAGGTCGGAATATTGTGCGACGACTGATTCTATCTTTGGGGGTGTTCTTACGCCCTCTCCGTTCTCAGAGACAAAGACTAGATACATGCCCTCCCCGCGATCCTGCTTGTATTGCAGCGCTGCTGGAGCGGACGCTTGTGGGCTGCTGCTGGCACTCAGAGGCAAGGTGCTAGCCCGTGCGGTCGTGCAGGGAGCAGGGCGCTGCTGAGGGCAGCGCCATAGCCCAGCCTCCATAGCTGGATGGGCTTGGACTACAGTGAGGTGCAGGGGTGGTCTTCGGGTGTACAGAGGGAAGACGTGGGTGTAAGAAGAGGGAGAGAGAGAGAAGGATGATGATGATGATGATGTGAGGGCACATACCTGGTATTGGCGATAGTCTGCATTGGGCGACATCTTCAAGTACTTCGTGAGCTGCTGACGTCAACAGTTGCATTGTAAATTAGTAAGCAGATTGTAGCTGTGTAGGAAGTAGGCTGGGCGCCGAGTGCCAAGTAGGGAGATAGGGCCTGGACGCTCATGTTGGTGATGGCGAGAGCTAGCTCTCATTGACATTGGTTTTCAGTGTTACGAATCTTCATTGGTGTTATATTGGTGCATTTCTGCTTTCCGGATACTGTGATACTATCTGGCCTTCAATGTGATTGTGTATTCTGGTTATTGTCATCTCGCTACTGCTTATTTTCCTTGCATAACCTTGTATTGCAGTGTTGCACAACCCGACCGTCGGCGACCCTTGACTGGTCGGCTGTCGACCCGCCGACCGGTAGGCTGGTCGGCACCTACCGGTCGGGGGTCGTCGCCACCCCGCAAAAAAAAAAGAAGAAAAAAAGAAGTTTTTTTTTTGGGTCCAGAACCCCTAGTAACCCCACCAACAACTCCATACCCACCCCAAATACCCCCATACACCCCCCCAACACCCCAAACCCATCCCCAACACCCTCATACCCCCCCCCAATACCCCCTATACCAACCCTATACCCCGTATATCCCCCTGTGCCCCCCCCCAACCGCCACATCCCCAAAAGTTTCTCAGCGGATTTGGGCTGTACTCAGCAAGCGCAGTACAGCTTCCAACTCAGATCTGAAAAAAAATTAGTGGATGGCTGTTTTCTGACTGGTCGGCAGACCGCCGACCGGTCGGGCCTATTGGTCAGCTGCAAAACGGTCGGCGGTCAGGGTTGGCGGTCGGGGTCGGCGGTCGGCAGCTATGCAACCCTGATGTATTGTCATTAGATTCATGCTGCTGGGGGTCGTTTGATAGGCCCATTTCCATCTGTCTCCTCTTTGTCTGACTCAAGGATTGTGCTACTGGTAGTTAGATGGTTGCTTGCAATCGAGACTCGCCTGTTCCATTTTGGATACCGCCTACAACTATGCATCTCCACTTATCTGTTTTGTTTTGCAGGTGGAGCGAGCTATAAGTAATGGTTCAATGGACAACATTGATGCACTTCTCGGCTGCCCACTAAATATGTTTGATTACAAGGTGTGTTAGACAGCAGCTTGCTGCCATGCTCAAACCACTAGTACTTCCGGGCCTCCTTTTCCTGATGTGGATTTGCGCTGCTCGCCAATAAAGAATGAACTGCTGCGAGTGCATTTTTTTTTTTTTTTTTTGGTCTGGCGCCGACTCCTGGAGGACGAGGTGCGTTTATGGCTGTGCCGGAACAAAATCGATGGCAAAAGTACCTGTGGCTTAAACCATCAGTACATCCGAAAAAGCAGATTGAGCCTCTCCTAAAAATTCGGAGGCCATGGACCGTCGATAAAATGCATCGCCGGTTCATGGCCTCCTATTTTTAGTAGAGGCTCAATCTCCTTTTTCGGATGTACTGGTGGTTTAAGAAATGCACAATGGATTGGCAACATTGGCTGCAAGTCTCATTGGAGATCCAATTGACTTGGATGGTATGGTATGACACAGTGTGCTACGACTACTCTGTGTGTGCCAAGCGTGTGTGAAGTACGCATAGCGCACCACTCGTATGACAGGACCCGAAGCATCGCTATAAATAGAACACACGCTGAGCAGATAGCAGACGAATCAATGAGATGCAAAAGAACCAACTGCAAAGAAGAAATGAATGCTGACCTGGTTGGTGTGCATATCCTCCATTGGCAGAGGGAGCACACCATGTCAATTCATTGTGGAACCAGAAAGCATCCCAGGCAACAGACTTACTTGAATCCCAGGCTCCCAGCACACCCAAAGATAAAGGTAAAGAATGTGATCAGCCGCAATAGCGGACTTGTTAGATAGTGCAGCCAGGACTCAATCAGATACCACATAGCAATGCGGGAGGTCAAGATGACGAGCAATCATGTATAGAGAGAGGGTGGGAAGGGATGATGTACGTAGGTTGGCAGGTCTGTGTGGGGAAGATGAGGGTGCAGTACTGTAAGGGGCGTGTCAGCATGTGGGGGGAAGAGGAGGTTTGCATACAGCGATATGAGTGTGTAGGGGTGGCATAACCATGTGGGGTGGACAGCGATATGAGTGTGTAGGGGGGACATAACCATGTGGGGTGGTGGGATTGTGTAGAATCATACAGGGAGGGAGAACCGGGGAATGTGTGATATGTGAGCATACTTGGTCTAATCGTTTGTGTATGGATCAAACAGAGGGGAACACCTTGTTGCCAGGGAAATGATGGGTATACGAGTGGGGAAGTAGGTGTTAAGGAAAGGGTGATGGGAGAAGCGTTTAAGGTTTCCGAGTCATGGTTGTTTCTGTGAAGGGACAAATGAGGGAAGTGCCAAGTCAGCATGTTATCATCCTCTAAAGCTGTAGACTTACCTCGGCTTCTATAGCTACTAAGGGTTGTATAGAGGGTAAGTGGTCACACATGAACGAATGATGGAGTTCATCGTGGTAGTAACTCATTGCCGATGAGCCATGATTTCTGTGTGTTGGAGTGTCTCGTGTGCAGCAACTAGAATAATGCACCTGCACATGCACATGCGCAGTGTGCAGGCTGGTTGGTAGTGCATGCACGTGCAACATTTCGCTTGTGAGCTTGTACATTTGGACAGGTTTTAGTGTTATCTGTGGCATTGTCACTCAGGGCATTTTGCTTTACGCTCTTTTATGCGAAATCAATGATTAGTAGTTCCGATCCCCTAATTTTCCGTTGGGGTAATGACCGGCCTCTAGGTGTTCTACTGGGAGCTGAATGTATGGCACTGTTAAGTTTCGAAGCAGGTTTTTTTCTGGGGAGTAGATTGCTGGGTTGGTTATTTCTGCTGGTGTGTGTGTGTGTGTGTGTGTGTG